CATCTGAGTGAATTTAATGAAACTTTTCATATGCTTCTTTCTTTGTCAAGTCTAGAGAAATAGATCTATTTCAACTCAGTCCAAAGAAATTAATTGTTGGAACACATGAAAGCCTTCTTTTTAAGGTGAGTTCACAGCCTGTGAGGAGCCTGACAGTGAGGTGAATATGATCTTTTTAGTGTGAACCTCAAGAAGATGTCTCTAGCTGTGTGATCCTGACTTTTGGGAAATACAAGTTAATTTTCCAGAATGTTTAGAAATCAGTGATTCATAATCCAGTCACTCCTGCGTGCCTGGCATCTTCACATGTTTTTACTGAAATGTCTTACTCCAAAATAGGGACGGTTTCCATTTGTTGAAAAGTGGGCAGAAGGAGGTGGCTCAGCTACCAGGCCCTATCCAGTGAGTGAACGCCTCTTTAGCTCCTTCCTTTGCGATCCGTTGGCATTTAATCTTCAAGATGACCTGTGAAGTCCTGGCTGTAGTTATCTCCATCTCCAGACCAGGAAATCTGGCCTCTGAGAGGTTTTCTCACTCAAGGTCACATGGTTAGTGAAGGCGTGAAAGCAGGATTGAACTCAGCTGATGGAAGAACACTCAAGAGTCTCCATCAGGTAAATATTTTGGTTCCTTTGCTATAGTCCAGCTTCGACTGCCTGGACTCCTTAGGGAGTCAGCACCCTCATATTCTGCAGCTCCAAGGTGATGGGGCATCTGTCCTGACTTAGGGCTTCCCTGGCGGCTCAGACAGTAAAGAATCTGCCCGCAGGGCAGGAGAGACGCAGGTTCAACCCCTGGGTTGGGAAAATCTCTGGAGAAGGGAATGGCAACCCACTCCAGTATTCTTGCCTGGAGAATCCCATGGATGGAGGAGCCTGGTGGGCTACAGTCCACGGGGTCACAAAGTCGGACACGACTGAGCCACTAACTCCCCCAACCCCATACAAACACATTGTATGAGACGCCCGGTGGTTCCATATCCATGCAAAACACTTGATGTTTTTATCCTTGTGACTTTAGCCATTCTCATGAGTATACAGCAGCATCTCACTGAGGTTTTAGTTTGCATTTCCTGCTAATTATGTAGCAGAGCTCTTGTGCTTCCTTGGCGTTGGTTTTCTTTGTTGAAAGTTTGTGTTCAGATCCTATCTATTTTTTGGGTTGTGCTGGATCTTCGTTGCTACATCTGTGCTTTCTTTGGTGGTGGAGAGGAGCTGTGGGCCTCTCACTGCAGAGCCTTCTTTTGCTAAAGGAGCATGGGCTCTGGAGCGTGAGGGCTTCAGTAGTTGTGGCTTACAGGCTTAATTGCCCAGAGGCATATGGGATCTTAGTTCCTGACCAGGAATCGAACCCATGTCCCCTGCATTGGGAGGTGGATTCTTACCACTGGACCACCAGGAAAGTCCTCTGCTTTTTAAATTTTTTTTATGTTGTTGTCTTTCTCTGAGTTTTAATACCATTAATGAGGTAATGTGGAGAGTTATAAGGAAGTATTTTATTGCTGACATATTTTCAAGAAAAGAATCTCTTCAATGGATATTTTGTTTCCTATACCATTTTTTTTTCCTTTTTTGGACATGTATAGCAGGAACTGCCTGTCATCTCTTGGTTTGTTTTAATTTGCCTTGCTTTGCTAAATCTACTTTTTACTGACTCTGTCAACTCATAATCTCTGGGAAAACGACTTGTGAAGGTACTAATTACACCTCTAAACACACACACACACACACACACACACACACACATCCATCCGTCACAGGCAAACTTGACTCCCATACCACTGTGAGGGCACCCTAGTGATCCCAGTGGACACTCCGCAGTGGGCACAACATCCTCTCCTGCTTTCTGGTTCCCCTGCACCCACTGCTGTTCAGTGTAAATTACTGGGGAGTCAACAAGTGACTGTTGGTGATGCTAAGCTGCTGACCTGGGTAGGTTAAGTGCTCTTGAATGACTCCAGTTTTAGAGAACAAGAGATCTTCTAAACTGATGGATGTAGTAGTAAATTAGTTTGAAATCCTTACTTTAAAAACTGCTTCTGTAAACTTTAGAATACTGAGGTTTTGCTTGATAACTAGCTATAAAATTTACTTGGAAAAACGTATTGTAGCAAAGCTGTGATTGTGATTTGGCTATGAGTTGTTGTTCGATCGCTAAGTCGTGTCTCACTTTTTGTGACCCCATGGACTGCAGCACACAAGGTTGCCCTGTCCTCCATCTCCCAGAGCGTATCATCCAAGCATCTCATCCTCTGTTCCCTCTTTCTCTTCCTGCCCTCAATCTTTCCCAGCATCAGGGTCTTTTCCAGTGAGTCAGCTCTTCACATCAGTTGGCCAAAGTATTGGAGGTTCAGCTTCACCATCAGTCCTTCCAATGAATATTCAGGGTTGATTTCCTTTAGGATGGACTGATTTGAACTGTTTGCAGTCCAAGGGACTATGAATAAGACAGGGTAATTCTATTTTTATTTTGTAAAATAATTAATTTAATTATTTTTGACTGTGCTCAGTCTCTGTGCTGCGTATGGGGTTTCTCTATGATTTGAACTCTTTGCAGTCCAAGGGACTATAAATAAGACAGGGTAATTCTATTTTTATTTTGTAAAATAATTAATTTAATTATTTTTGACTGTGCTCAGTCTCTGTGCTGCGTATGGGGTTTCTCTAGTTGGGGTGAGCAGAGGCTACTCTCAAGGTGTGGCCCGCAGGCTTAGTTTCCTTGCGGCATGTGGAGTCTTGCTGGATCACAGATCGAACCTGTGTCCATGTCCCCTGCGTTGCCAGATGGATTCTTAACCACTGGACCACCAAGGAACTCCAATAATTCTGTTTTTAGAGTAGATGTTTCTAGGATACACAGCCTAAGAGTATTTTGTGGCCTTTAGTGGTTGTTGTATCTGTGGGCCAAAGGCAGAATATGTTCTTCATCATTGTGAGCCATGTTTTGTATTAATATGGGATTCCCTGGTAGCTCAGACAGTAAAGAATCCGCCTGTCAGCGCAGGAGACAGGGGTTTCTATCCCTGGATTGGGAGGATCCCCTGAAGAAGAAAATGGCAACCCACTCCAGTATTCTTGCCTGGGAAATTCTATGAACAGAGGAGCTTGGCAGGCTCCAGTCCATGTGGCCTCAAAGAGTCATACATGACTGAGCAACTAACACTTGTATTAATATAAAGTTGAGTTGATTCATCAAGAGGTGTCCATGCTGTGTAGGATAATGAATGAGTAGAAAAGTTGATGAAAGTGTGAGCTCATGGGGGGTTGCTTTTGATAGAGCACTGGATTGGCACCTAGCGGATCTGAGATCTAGGACCAGCTTTGCTGTGTGACTTTGGAGAGGTCACTTGGCCACTCTGGGCTATCCTCTGCTCTGAAATGAGTCAGTTACAAGACTTGTGGTGTGGATTGTTTTTATTACAATGGTTTTGAGGTCACTTGACAACTTTGAAAATAAATCCAGTCTTGAAGTTCTTCGTCTGTGGTGTTATTCCTCGTTCCAGTCATAATTGCATGGCTTTTCTGTCTTTATTGCTTTCTCTTTGTTACTCTTTATTACTTTCTCTCTTCCAAAGTAAGAGAAGAAAAAGGTAAAAATAATGATAAAGACAAAAAGGAATTTTTGATACAATATTAGAGCAAAACAAAAGCCTGTTTTCGAAATAGTAAAATGCAAAACTTTTTACTTTGTTACTATGGGTCACAGTCAATTCAAATTGGGCCCAAAGGTGTTTTGGATTAAAATTTCTCCAATGTCCTCATAAATGTTTGTGATTTTATTCATTTGAATTTTTGGTGTCCCTTATATTTCAGCAAGCAAATAAAATAAAATCTTAAACTGCAGGCAGTAAGCAATCAAAAAGAGCCCGTAGAACTTGAAGTTTATGTTTCTATTTTAATTTAGTGCTAATTCTGACTTTATGTTCTTGTTGAACATTGTTGGGTAGTGAGACAAAGGGAAAGTAGATTATTTTGAAGGTTTTGAATGTGAGAGTGGGAATTATCAGTGTTAGTTATTGAAATAGACATTTTCAGGCTTGCTTTTTACTTTTTTTGAAGCTATTCAAAATCTAGGTCAAGATTTGCAGCCTTACTCATGAACTCCTGGCACATTGTTCACTACATATTGCTCCAGAAAGGAACTAATGATGGTGGGGAAACTGGCGTCTACCTTAATGAAGTGGTTCTCAGGCATCATCTTTTGAAGTCCCAAGTGCCTCCTTAAAAAATCATACTGTTGATTACTCCTGTACCCGTGCAAAACATGGAGTAAATTTCAATAAAAAAAGGTATCTATGACAGAGCATCTTCCTTCCCTGTTGCCTGGCTCCCATTGTCAAGTAAACAAAAATGTTATTATCTGGGCTGACGGCACCAGACGAAAGCAGATGCTAGAGGAAAAGATGGTTAAGTTTTCCATCACATTTTCTTGAGCTGCTAGATGTCCACATAACAATCACTTTCATGATTCATCCAAGTGTCTCCAAATAGAGTAAGAACATTTACAGAAATGGCAACCAACTCCATGTATTCTTGCCTGGGAAATCCCATGGACAGAGGAGCCTGGCGGGCTATAGTCCATGGGGTTGCAAAAGAGTCAGACACAACTTAGTGACTAAACAACAAACCTAAGAACACGACTTTCCTCCAAAAAGCCCGTTTCTTTCTGCGTTTGTAAAGTGGAGTCACATTGTTTCTGGACCCGAGTATGTGCCCAGTCATTGTTAATTATTTCCTTCCTAAAAATGAAATACTCAAAAATTGGGGTAGTGTCGCCTCCAAGAGCTGACCTTGCATCAGGAGAATAAAGAAAACCCAGGACAACGAGGCATGTGTTTGTGAGCTCTGGTAGGAAGTGCACTTGGAGGACAAGATAAGAGAAAATGCTGACTTGTAATATTTTATTCCCTAGCAAACATTAACAAAGTTTCTGCAGTACAAACAACATATCCGTCTTCTCCCCAGTTATGCAGTTTCTTGTGAGCAGGCGACATCATTTCCTGCTTGGTTTTGTGAATTACAAGGATGCTGTGTCCTGCTAGGGATGCTGGGCTTGGAATGAGGCCGAGAGGCTCACAGGGATCGCCAGGCTGGCGGCAGCCCCCAGGCTCTTTAAGTTGTTTTCCATTAAGGGCACAAGCAAAGCCCACCTTATAGTTGACTTTTGTCTTTTTCCCAAATCGAGCAACTCTGTAAAAAAAGAGGCTTTGGACCCAGATTTTTCCCAGGTAGATTAGGACATACACACTCTTTGTTACACAGTGAAAATTAGTTTCTCTTTAATGATACTTGAAAAACTAATCACTTTTCTTCTCTAGAATAATCATAATCATCTCTGCTCTTTTATTTTAGCTGTCTCCAACTGGACATCCAGGGCGCCTCTCCTGTTCTTTCTGACTCTTGAATTGGAAGCTAACAAGACTCTGCAGCCTGGAAAGGAAGTGAAAGGTAATACATGTTAAAAACTGTGTTATTAAATTCATGTATACATCTGATAATCATAAAGTAATGGCAGCTCCTTATTTGTTGAGCGGAATTTGGGTGTCCTTGCCTGTTTTCCCACCATGTTCCTCCTGTCCCTCCCCCTTCACTGCCCCCTCCCCCGCCCACCACCACCCAGTCCCTCCTTGTCTTCTTCTCTCTCTGTCTCCTCCTCCCCTTCTCCTTCCTCTCCCTTCTTCACACATATTCACTCAACAAACGGGTGCATGGAGTCTGTCCTGTAGGGTCACTGGGAGGAATGGGGGGGGACAGCCTCTGAAAAGGACCTCCCCCGAGCTCTGTGCCAGGTCTGACTGAGAGGCAGTCCTTGCTTCTGGCTGTCCCCAGAGCGCTCCCTCGCCAACCACCCGGGCCTTGAAATGTTTGCACTTCCCCGGCTCTCTTTGAGGTTGCCTGAGTGTTGCTCACAGTGGCTTTTTCTGCAAACTCTCGGGCTGTTCGAGGCTCAGTCCCTCGTGGAGATGAAGAAAGCAGCATCAGTGGACTGTCAGCTGACAGATGAATTTGTAAGCACTCTCATTTGGTGTGAGACCTGGTATATTTTTTCCAATCACTAACAGAGCACGTGTCATGCAAAAAATTTAAATGAACCTGGTCCATAACATAGAATGTGACTGGTCTCTCCCAAAGTCTGGAGATAACACCGGCTAAACTTGGGTGCACACACTTTAATCGCTTTCCTCTCTGCATAGACTGATGTTGTTAGGGAACGTGCTTCGTCTGTAATAAGTGCCCTAATCCAACAGGGTAAGATTCAGTGGGGAAAGGTGGTTTCATAATTTCTGCTGATCACCAGGCCTTGTTTCTTCCTTGTGCGTGGCCCTTGCTAATGCAGATGGCAGGTTCTGTGAGCTGGCGACCATGGCTGCTCCCTTGCGCCTGTTCATTTTAGTGGCTTCTGCCCTCATTTAGTAGCCAAGCTGCTGTTTACCCCCTCCTCTTGCCTTGATAATGCATTAGTCATGCCAGGATTCCGGGGAGAACCTGGACTCAGGTACTGCCAGCCAGAGTGAGCATCCTTGTCCCGGATGCTGGGTGGGAACGGCAAACCCCTCCCTTGGCTGAAATCCTCCTTTGTGGTACACCCCCGCCAGCCAGCCTGGCTCTGGAGACATCGTTGCATCGCTGCTTGGCGCCTCTGCCTGTCCGTAAGGAGCCAGCCGTCTCCCTCCTGCTGGGATTGCCCTCATCTGACTTTCTGCCTCCCTCCTAAGAGGGCAGGGGCCTCATCTCGCTTCCGGGACACCCGGCTCCTGCCTCCTTCTTCAGCCTCAGTCGCCTTCTCAAATACCCTCTGACTCTGCCCCATCCCCACTTGATGCCCCCCTCAACTGAATATTCAAAAGCAACTGGCCATGATTCCGTAGCCCTTGGTCCACTGTTCTCCCAGGTGTCTGTCTGTCTGTCTCCATGCGTTGTCAGCAGCTGAGGGGGTCCCTGGCCTGTTCAGCTCAGTGACCAAGAGAGCTCGTTGTGGTCTGGCACCTGGTTGGCTGTAGGAACTAAGCGATTGATGAGTGTTGGGTGGACATCGGGCATTGTCCCTATGCGGGCTCTTTATCCTGGGATGTGGGCACTGCCGGTATCCCGTGGGATATCGTGTACGCTGGTCAGATGCTCTGGGGACCGTGGAGCAGTGCCAGCTTTGAGGCAGGGCGTATTTTCCTGACTGTGAGTTCTTCTAGGAAACTTGAGATGGTCCCCAGTTAGAGTTATGAGTTGGCTTGTGGGTGGGTGAGCTCCAGCTCTGGGCAGCCCAGCCCTGGTCCCCTCCCACCTGCTGTTGGAGCTCGTCTCATAGGTGGACAGAGCCAGAACTTCCTGGGGCTGGTGGCTTTGGTGACAGTGGGCTCTGGGTCAGCATCTGGACTCAGCCACGTGCGATGTGCTTGATGTTGGAAAGCTGTTCACTTTCTGTGCCTCAGTTTCTTCACCTGTCACATCAGGATACAGGCAGTGCCCACATCATAGGCTCCTTGTGAGCATCGAAGGATTAGTTGCTGTGTAGGCTGGTGCACGGGAGATGTTAATCCAGTTAGATCCATGTATAATCCATGTTAGAGCTTCTGCTGTATTGTCTTCTGCAGAACAGAGGTGATAATACGTATTTCTTATGATTACTATAAGCATTAAATGAGGTGGTGCCCATAAAATGGGGCCTCCTTGAAAGAATCTGCCTGCCGAGCAGGAGATGCAGATTTGATCCCTGGGTCGGGAAGATCTCCTGGAGAAGGAAATGGCAACCCACTCCAGTATTCTTCCCTGGAGAATCACATGGACAGGAGAGCCTGCTGGGCTACAGTCCATGCGGTCGCAGAGTCGGACATGACTGAGAGACCAAACAATTATGCTGGCTGTTTTTTTTTTTTACTTTACATAACTTAAAAAATTCAACTTTGTTGCATGGTTGCACATAAGTTATGATTTGTCCTAAGATTAAGCAAGTAAAAATAATACCGCTACTTAAAATTTGTAGCAGTGCCTTGGGAAAGTTTCTGCAAACCACAGAGAAGTTGAGTTGTTGCTCCAGACGGAGAGAATGGGTTCATCCCCTGCAGAGGTGACCTTTGGTTTCAACTCTCTTTGAGTTTCCTTCCTTATTTGCTTTTGGCATTGATCTGACCTGAGTACCACCTAAGAGCAAACCATTTAAGCAGGAATATATTTCAATATTTAATGATACTCAGTTCTTCAAACCCTAGCTGCCTAAGAATTTGTACTGAGTGACTTGTCTCTTTAAGATTCTGTAATATTCACTTAGATTTTCCTAGACTAGATTTCTCTGATTAATATCCAACCATACTTTTCCTTGGGCTTCCCAGGTAGCACAATGTTAAAGAATCTGCCTGCCAATATAGGAGCTGCAAGAGACTCAGGTTCGATCCCTGGATCGAACAGATCTCCTAGAGAAGGAAATGACAACACTCACTCCAGTATTCTTGTCTGGGAAGTCCCATGGACAGAGGAGGGCCATAGTCCGTGGGCCACAGTCTGTGGAGTGGCAAAGAGTCAGACAAGACTGAACACACGCTCTTACTTTTTTTTTTTTACCTTGTTTTATTGTTTAGTTAAAGGAGAAAAACAGCCGATGGTAGATTTTTGGGATTTGAGGATTTTTTTGAGATTGTTAAGTTAGTTGATAGACCTTCCTATGTATTCATAGCATAGAGGTACAAGTATGTTAAAAAATATTTCTGGTTTGGTCTCTAATCCTAGGCTCTGATTAACCTTCTTCAAAGCCTGTTATCTGCAGTAAATGATTCTAATTGGTACATATGCTACTTTGTAAAAAAAACAAAACACAATACTTAGCACTTTTTCCGGTTTTTGTACACAAATGTGTAATTTGGCTTTCCTTCTCTGAAGGAAAATTTGTGTCTTTTATGGACTGAAAATGTTTCAGATTCAAGGTGCACACTTCAGTCATAAAGATGAAGTTCAATTTTAAGGAGGAGTGCTGTTTATAGTCTTCTAAATTTTTTTCCCTAGCATCTCTTTTCAATGAGTACTGTCTGGGCTGTGTTTTCTGACTTGTTTTCTGAGTTAATTGGAGTTGGAAAGCAGACGTTTCTTTTTTCTCTTTCTCACTGTTGTTCGGGGCCACCAAGCCTTGTTACCTTTGTTTTTGTCCCGTGTCCACCCTGCAGTTTGCACGTCATTTCAGAGAACCTCTTCCTTCTTTGGTCTCTGCCTGAGCAGATAAGCATCACCAGAATGTGACACAAGCGGTGATGCAGGCTGTAGGGGACCCAGTGAATTCTAGATTGTTCTGACCTAGTAAGTCACCCAATGTGTGTTTCTTAGTCATCAAAAGGTCCTCGTAGGAGGATAATTGTACCTCTTGAAAAAGTGTGTCATTCTTCTCTCATGAGTAACTACTGATGGTGTGTAAATGTGTCCTAGCCTTTTCTCACTTAATTTTTTTCCTTAAATTTATTTTTAATTGGAGGATAATTGAGGCACAGTGTTGTTAGTTTCTGCTGTGGAGCAGCATGAATCAGCCTGAAGTGTACGTAGGTCCCTCCCTCTGGGGCCTCCCTCCCACCCCTCCCCTCCCCCTCCTCCAGGTCATCTGGGCTTTGAGCTGAGCTCCCTGTACTATGCAGCAGCCTCCCACTTGCTGTCTGTTTTACATATGATAATATATATGTTTAAGTGCTACTCTCTGAGTTCATCCTACCTTCTCCTTCCCCCGCTGTGTCCACAAGTCCATTCTCTGTGTCTGCATCTATACCTGCCCTGCAAATAGGTTCATCAGTACCATTTTTCCGGATTCCATATATATGCGTTAATATATGATATTTGTTTTTCTTTCTCTGACTTACTTCATTTTGTATACAGGCTTCTGGGTTTATCCACCTCAGTTCAACTGACTCAACTTCATTCTTTTTTATGGCTGAATAATTTTCTATTGTGTATATGTACCACAGCTTCTTTATCCATTTATCTGTCGATGGCCGTCTAGGCTGCTTGCATGTCCTGGCTATTGTAAATAATGCTGCAATGAATCTCAGTATTGCTCACCCTGGATCAGGAGCCACCATCACTCCCTGTCAACCCTAGGACATCATTGACGTCTATGTTCTTGTCTTGGAACTGTGTTGTACTCTCCGTGTGAAATCCTGAAATGTTTAAGATAGAGATGGTGCAAGTTTAATTCCTTATTTTACAGAGGTGAATATTGAGACCTTTTGACAGTTAATTTCATTTAATATATTTATAATAATTCAGCAAAGATATCCTTTTTCTATTATGAGAATATAGGTATTCTTCATGTAATTAAAATATTTACAGAAAATACTAATAATTAGTGTATTAAATCATACTGAGAGACTTCCCCAGTGGTTCAGTAATTAAGACTTCACCTTCCAATGCAGGGGATGCAGGATCCATCCCTGATCAGGGAAGCTAAGATCCCACATGCAGCGTGGCCAAAAAAACCAAAA